TAATTAGAATATCTTGATCTTTTTAGCCTTTTATTACAATTACTTATGAGATCTAAACTTCACATTTTAGTATGTGATTTTAATGAAATCCTATTTAAATGAATTTCCACTGAGGTTTTTTTTTTCCACATTTTAATTCTCTTCTTTCAGGGTGGTATATATGGTTCCATTTCTCTTTTACTCCTAGCTCATGTTTGCCAAGTGAACTTTATAGCCATAAGACTGAGAATCTATAAGACCTGGATAATAATTACCATTATTCTTTAACATTATTTTATGCAAAGTACCTGTGAATGGAACTATTTTATTTTCCTATGTGCCAAAGAAGCCTTGTGGATATTTTTTGTGGCTGGAATACATATTGATGCATTGTGCTTGGGAGGCCCTTCTCAATTCATACTCCCAGTGAAATAAGTAGGTTAATGCACTTGAGTATGTGCGGCTGGTGGCCTTGTTTGTCAGTTTCAAATTACACAATAGTGCCACTTCACTCCTCTGATTACTGTATTTATGAAAGCTTGAATAACTCGACAAGCTGTTTAAACACAGCAGTAGGAAACCACATTTGCTGCAGTTATATTCTCATTTTGTAGAATGCCATTTGTCTGTCTGGCATAGACCATTGCTCTTCAATGTTTACATGTTCTAAAAATGACAGTGTAGCTGAGAATGGAAGTAATAGCAGTGAGATGAATAGTTCCCCTCCCCCCCGGATATTGGCATATTTTTTTAATGATCTACTGACAACTGTTGAGATATTGGGAGTTTATATAAGCGTGCTTTCTCAGTGTTGCTCAGACTGCAAATATGCCATGCCAGCTACTTGCAGTGAATGGATCTGTCATTGTTCTTGTACTGAAAGCTGCAGTAAAGGTTGTTCCCATATCTGTGTGCACCATATTTCCTATTGCATGGAAATAGATAATGATGATGTTGATGATGATAATGATAATGATGATAATTTATTAAAATTATATGCTGCCCAATTCCCAGCAACTCTGGGAGATGTAGATGTAGACTATTAATCAGCATTTTCTCTGTAATTCCCTTCTATACGTGTTGTAGAATTTTTCTATCAGGTAGAACAATGGGCTTGAATTTCAGCTGTCTGGGCGTTGATCTTGGTATAAAATGAAAATTTTGTTAGCCTTGTGTATAGTAGATGAATCTCAATTTCATGTAAAGTCTTAATAAATTGTCCACATAGCTCTCACAATCCCGTGGAACAGATTTTGAGGGCATATTGGGGGAAGGGGTTTTGCAGGGGGAATAGGGAATGCTTCTATTCCAGTTCAGCTGATGTAAGTCATTCTGCTGTTGTGAAGTATTTATTGGATATGATGTTTAAAAATAAACATTAAGAGTCAGCTTCATTTTCACAGGTAGACATTTTCAGTTACCAAAGAGAGTTTTTAGAGTATTATAAGATTCTCTTCCCCCTGCCCCATAAAGCTTAACTTTTTTGTACCCATTTGTGTCTAATGAGCAGCAGCTTTGGCTCCCTATGTTGGTTTTTATAGTTTTTATAGTGAGTAAGAGTGTTTATGTAGATTAAGTGTCTCTTTCTGACTAGGTGCTCCAAAAAATTGGGAACAGTGTGGCCCATGCATTGATGGTGATGACATTGTACAAGCATATTAGGGGGAGGCGGTGCTTCCTTTCCTCATGCTGAATGGCTGAACATTTCTTCTTATTTGCAAACAACTCAAATCCCAGTGCCTAAAATGTGTATGTTGTTTTAATGGGTTTTATATTGTTTGTAAATTGTTCTTTCAGTGTTTTGGCTCAGTCTTAAGTTTTATTAACAAAACCATATCTTTCTAAAAAAGTGATGATTTTATTCAGGCTCTGTAGTGATTCAGGTTCAAATGGGAAACGATGATTCAGAGCATGCAAGTTGCACCAGTCAGCAATGCATTAAAGAAGTGGTCTCTTCTCCTGGGCTTAAACTGTTGCTGCTGCCGCCGGGCTATCCTGGGAAGAGAAACATTTGATGTGAGAGGTACCATTGAGTGCAGTGTGCAGGTCCCCCACATACTCTGAATCACCTTTCTCCTTTGAGTTGGGATCACTACACAGCCTTGGTCTTAAGACAAATGCACTGCACATATTGATTCATTCCCCCCCCACCCCCCCCC